ACATTTGGCACCAGTGTTCCAAATGGCTATATATTGCATTTTGGAAAGGAAGTCTTTGACTTCAACAGCTATACATACAAACACAGGGGCCCTACAATATACACAATAAAGCACTCAGAAAAAAAAAACATGAAATGAATCATAGAACAACTCAACTCAGAAAACGCCAACAGAACCCTCAGAGAACATCCAGTCAGAAAACATCCAGTCAGAAAACATCCAGTCAGAGAACATCCAGTCAGTACCTGCAGGACACACGGACAAGAGAAAGGGACAGAAAAATACTGCAAAGAGAAAAAAGATTGGGTCAGTACATGCCAAATGAACTTGATTTCAACATCAATTCAAAGAGTTTCCTCCAAAATGCCATATCGCCATTCTTTGTGACTTTTTTGCAAGAATTTTGCTTGAGAGCCAGCTTTCCTGCTGTGATTAACTCTCTGGAGTCTTGAAACTCTAGACATTTGGCACCAGTGTTCCAAATGGCTATCAGGAAGTCTTTGACTTCACCAGCTATACATACAAACACAGGGGCCCCACTATATACACAATAAAGCACTAAGAAAAACATGAAATGAAACATAGAACAACTCAACTCAGAAAATGCCAACAGCACCCTCAGAGAACATCCAGTCAGAAAACATCCAGTCAGAGAACATCCAGTCAGTACCTGCAGGACACACGGACAAGAGAAAGGGACAGAAAAATACTGCAGAGAGAAAAAAGATTGGGTCAATACATGCAGAATGAACTTGATTTCAACATCAATTCAAAGAGTTTTCTTTCAAAATGCCATATCGCCATTCTTCGTGACTTTTGTGCAAGATTTTTGCTTGAGAGCCAGCTTTTCTGCTGTGAGTAACTCTCTGGAGTCTTGAAACTCTAGACATTTGGCACCAGTGTTCCAAATGGCTATATATTGCATTTTGGAAAGGAAGTCTTTGACTTCAACAGCTATACATACAAACACAGGGGCCCCACAATATACACAATAAAGCACTAAGAAAAAAAACATGAAATTAAACAGAGAACAACTCAACTCAGAAAACGGCAACAGAACCCTCAGAGAACATCCAGTCAGAAAACATCCAGTCAGAAAACATCCAGTCAGAGAACATCCAGTCAGTACCTGCAGGACACACGGACAAGAGAAAGGGACAGAAAAATACTGCAAAGAGAAACAAGATTGGGTCAGTACATGCAGAATGAACTGGATTTCAACATCAATTCAAAGAGTTTTCCTTCAAAATGCCATATCGTCATTCTTCGTGACTTTTGTGCAAGAATTTTGCTTGAGAGCCAGATTAAATTTCCTGCTGTGATTAACTCTCTGGAGTCTTGAAACTCTAGACATTGAGCACCAGTGTTCCAAATGGCTATATATTGCATTTTGGAAAGGAAGTCTTTGACTTCAACACCTATACATACAAACACAGGGGCCCCACAATATACACAATAAAGCACTAAGAAAAACATGAAATGAAACATAGAACAACTCAACTCAGAAAACGCCTACAGCACCCTCAGAAAACATCCAGTCAGAAAACATCCAGTCAGAGAATATCCAGTCAATACCTGCAGGACACATGGACTAGAGAAAGGGACAGAAACATACTGCAAAGAGAAAAAAGATTGGGTCAGTACATGCAGAATGAACTTCATTTCAAATTCCATTCAAAGAGTTTTCCTTCAAAATGCCATATCGCCATTTTTTGTGACTTTTGTACAAGAATATTGCTTGAGAGCCAGCTTTTCTGCTGTGATTAACTCTCTGGAGTCTTGAAACTTTAGACATTTGGCACCAGTGTTCCAAATGGCTATCAGGAAGTCTTTGACTTCACCAGCTATACATACAAACACAGGGGCCCCACAATATACACAATAAAGCACTAAGAAAAACAAGAAATGAAACATAGAACAACTCAACTCAGAAAACGCCAACAGCACCCTAAGAGATCATCCAGTCAGAGAACATCCAGTCTGAGAACATCCAGTCAGTACCTGCAGGACACACGGACAAGAGAAAGGGACAGAAAAATACTGCAAAGAGAAAAAAGATTGGGTCAGTACATGCCGAATGAAATTCATTTCAACATCAATTCAAAGAGTTTTCATTCAAAATGCCATATCGCCATTCTTTGTGACTTTTGTGCAAGAATTTTGCTTGAGAGCCAGCTTTCCTGCTGTGATTAACTCTCTGGAGTCTTGAAACTCTAGACATTTGGCACCAGTGTTCCAAATGGCTATATATTGCATTTTGGAAAGGAATTCTTTGACTTCAACAGCTATACATACAAACACAGGGGCCCCACAATATACACAATAAAGCACTAAGAAAAAACATGAAATTAAACATAGAACAACTCAACTCAGAAAACGCCAACAGCACCCTCAGAGAACATCCAGTCAGAGAACATCCAGTCAGAAAACATCCAGTCAGAGAACATCCAGTCAGTACCTGCAGGACACACGGACAAGAGAAAGGGACAGAAAAATACTGCAAAGAGAAATAAGATTGGGTCATTACATGCAGAATGAACTTGATTTCAACATCAATTCAAAGAGTTTTCCTTCAAAATGCCATATCGCCATTCTTCGTGACTTTAGTGCAAGAATTTTGCTTGAGAGCCAGCTTTTCTGATGTGATTAACTCTTTGGAGTCTTGAAACTCTAGACATTTCGCACCAGTGTTCCAAATGGCTATATATTGCATTTTGGAAAGGAAGTCTTTGACTTCAACACCTATACATACAAACACAGGGGCCCCACAATATACACAATAAAGCACTAAGAAAAACATGAAATTAAACAGAGAACAACTCGACTCAGAAATCACCAACAGCACCCTCAGAGAACATCCAGTCAGAAACAGCCAGTCAGAGAACATCATGTCAGTACCTGCAGGACACATGGACTAGAGAAAGGGACAGAAACATACTGCAAAGAGAAAAAAGATTGGGTCAGTACATGCCGAATGAAATTCATTTCAAATTCCATTCAAAGAGTTTTCCTTCAAAATGCCATATCGCCATTTTTTGTGACTTTTGTACAAGAATATTGCTTGAGAGCCAGCTTTTCTGCTGTGATTAACTCTCTGGAGTCTTGAAACTTTAGACATTTGGCACCAGTGTTCCAAATGGCTATCAGGAAGTCTTTGACTTCACCAGCTATACATACAAACACAGGGGCCCCACAATATACACAATAAAGCACTAAGAAAAACAAGAAATGAAACATAGAACAACTCAACTCAGAAAACGCCAACAGCACCCTAAGAGATCATCCAGTCAGAGAACATCCAGTCAGAGAACATCCAGTCAGTACCTGCAGGACACACGGACGAGAGAAAGGGAAAGAAAAATACTGCAAAGAGAAAAAAGATTGGGTCAGTACATGCAGAATGAACTTGATTTCAACATCAATTCAAAGAGTTTTCATTCAAAATGCCATATCGCCATTCTTTGTGACTTTTGTGCAAGAATTTTGCTTGAGAGCCAGCTTTCCTGCTGTGATTAACTCTCTGGAGTCTTGAAACTCTAGACATTTGGCACCAGTGTTCCAAATGGCTATATATTGCATTTTGGAAAGGAATTCTCTGACTTCAACAGCTATACATACAAACACAGGGGCCCCACAATATACACAATAAAGCACTAAGAAAAAACATGAAATTAAACATAGAACAACTCAACTCAGAAAACGCCAACAGCACCCTCAGAGAACATCCAGTCAGAAAACATCCAGTCAGAGAACATCCAGTCAGTACCTGCAGGACACACGGACAAGAGAAAGGGACAGAGAAATACTGCAAAGAGAAAAAAGATTGGGTCAGTACATGCAGAATGAACTTGATTTCAACATCAAAGAGTTTCCTTCAAAATGCCATATCGCCATTCTTTGTGACTTTTGTACAAGAATATTGCTTGAGAGCCAGCATTTCTGCTGTGATTAACTCTCTGGAGTCTTGAAACTTTAGACATTTGGCACCAGTGTTCCAAATGGCTATCAGGAAGTCTTTGACTTCACCAGCTATACATACAAACACAGGGGCCCCACTATATACACAATAAAGCACTAAGAAAAACATGAAATGAAACATAGAACAACTCAACTCAGAAAATGCCAACAGCACCCTCAGAGAACATCCAGTCAGAAAACATCCAGTCAGAGAACATCCAGTCAGTACCTGCAGGACACACGGACAAGAGAAAGGGACAGAAAAATACTGCAGAGAGAAAAAAGATTGGGTCAATACATGCAGAATGAACTTGATTTCAACATCAATTCAAAGAGTTTTCTTTCAAAATGCCATATCGCCATTCTTCGTGACTTTTGTGCAAGAATTTTGCTTGAGAGCCAGCTTTTCTGCTGTGAGTAACTCTCTGGAGTCTTGAAACTCTAGACATTTGGCAACAGTGTTCCAAATGGCTATATATTGCATTTTGGAAAGGAAGTCTTTGACTTCAACAGCTATACATACAAACACAGCAGCCGATTTCACGAAACTCGTCTTATCTTACAACATATCTTAGGACTTAGGACGAGTCCCCCCTCTAAGATCGATCCTAGCTAAGACGCGTCCAAAGATCAATTTCACCAAACGCATCTTAAGGAAGACGCATCCGAAATACAGTTTTACAAACCGCTAATTATTGAACGAGGATGACCTTTTGCGTGCTACGGCTGTATCATGTTCGATTTGGCATTTTTATGCAACTTCGGCATTTTCATGCAACAGCCGTCGGAAATGTACACGCGCTTGCAGTAAAATCAAGATGGCTGATTGGCGGTTGTTTTGGAGTGAAAAATTCGTCTGCTAAAAAAACGTCTGCTAGCTCGTTTAACACGTAAGTATATACGTAACTAGGGAAATTGGTCAATTTTGGTTCTTTGCATTGTACAAGTTACACAACGAGGTCATTTTTTGGGGTTGTAAAAACGCATTTTGAGTCGCAACATCGAATGCGTCTGTGGTGTACCGTGTACTTGTGTACGTACACATGGAGCCAACGGCAACGTGCAGCAGCATGAACGTCAACGAAAGTGGGGGGACGGGGAGGTCTAGGGCCAGTAATTGGTCTCACGAAGAAATCAAAGTGTTGAGCGAATTTGTGCGGGCCTACAAGCACCAGCTGATGGGCACGAGCAGCAAATCCACAGCCAATGTGGAAAAGGTTAAAATCCACTACTGGAAAATGGCAGGGAGAGTATTGGTGGAAAATGGAGGGGTGGAGCGACCATGGAAAAAAATTAGAAAGAAGTGGCAAACCATCACCAGTCAAGCACGGTCATACCATAGAGAATGTAACAGAACGGGTAAGCTCATTTAGTTAAACAAACATTTATTAAATATTTTATTTTTAATTTGTATTTATTTGTTTCATTTATTTATTCTTTTTTTTGGGGGGGGGGGGGGGGCGATTGTCCTACATCATAGTTTGTACATTTGTTTTGTGATTGTCTGTGTACTGTTGCCCTCACACCATGGATCAGTTACAGAAAGAATGTTCCATCCTGACGCCACTTTTTCATTGTATATTATTCAATGAAGATCAGTCCTTGCAAAACTGTTGAATAGGCATGAATTTTGCCCTAGAAGACATTTCCAATTTCGTTAAAAAAATATGTTGAAAATGCACTCAACTCTCCATAGACTTTGTACACAAACAAAGAAGTGGCGACGGGATAATACATGCTTTCCTTTTCATTATTCATGCAGTCTCGACCCCAATAGTCATCCTTTTGTAATTTTCTATAGACCTCGCTAGGCCTCTCACATAAAATAACTTAACATGGCAGTAAACTGTTATGAAGGTGGAGGGGAAATTGTACAATTGGTCCATTGTACTTGCAACATCGGCATCTGACGAAGTGAAATAGATGTTCAATGGGCAATGGATATGTTTGTCACAGCTCAATATAAGGTTAAGGCCAAACAACACTGCCGTTTCTAATAACGTTTAAAAAAAGTTGGTTGTGCATCATTGTTGGCTTTTTTTCCAAATAATACTAAGCATGTGGTATTAACATTTTTAATCGTTCAAACAAAAAGAATCTAAAACTTTCCAACTTAGACAAAATAAAAAATTTCAATTAAAAATGGGATCTTCATTCATGTGGTTTTCTTCGAAGTTTAACATACAAAGCCTGAAGGGGAAATTTTTGCTTTCTTAATTCTAGAACTTAATTAAATTTAATACATTTTTCTATGAAAAGTATTTTTTTCCCCCTTCCATCATTTGTTTCATGATGATTACAAGTCTAGATTTTCTCCTTTTTTTATGAAGGTGGAGGAGAAAAGCCCGATCTGAATCCAACATTCGAAGTCGTGCTAGATGCACTTGCACCAGTTGCCAAGGATGGCATCCTGTCGGCGGATGATGGTGAGTCAGACCCAGCAGCTGCAATACCAGTTGAGGACAGCACAGCTGAGGAATTGATGCTAGACATGGTGGCAAATAGTAAGTAGTTTTAATTAGTGTGCAGTCATACAAGCATTCGATTTCATGAAGGTCATCATAACTTACGATGCATCGCAGCGCTTGCGACGTGCCGTATCTCTACGATGCGTCTGCTGCAACGCGTTCTGCGATCCATTTCACAAAACATGTCGTAAGTGTGACGCGTCGAAGGTGTATTTATAGCACAACTTGGTGACTATTTTATGTATTTAATCAGTGTACAGTAAATAGCAGGCATGCAACTTTTCCTCGGTTCAGCTGATTTCCCCTTTTTTAACTTCACATGTGTGCCATTGAAAATAGAAAAACACTGTACAAAGTCTGGGAAAATTTGAATTTCCTCTTTTTTTTGAGATTTCCCAGTTGCATGCCTGAAATAGTCGTTTGATATTCAACAAAGAGTCGTTGGATCTTCAGTCGAAATTCGTTAAAATGTAAAACAAAATGGAGGCCGTGTGATGCAATTTTAAAGGAAAACAAGCTTTCAGGGGACTGCTCAAGTCCCAAGTCTTGCAGGTCGAGTCCGAGTCACAAGAGACTCCGGTCGAGTCCAAGTTGCGAGTCGCCTTTAAAAGTTGTTTGGGAAAAAAATTGAGGTACTGCTAAAACCTCTCATTGTAAATGTTTCCATTTTTTCACAGCTTTTCTCTAATTTAATGAACTGGAAATACATACAATTTAAAAAAAAGTCTGGCTCGAGTCCTAGTAATACAAGTCACAGAGGCAATGCTCTTGGAATCTGAAATTGTTCAAGTAATATTAACTTAGGTTTAATTCAGCACTGAAGGAAATTTTTGTGCAGTGAAAATACAAACAAATGACATTGTATCAAAACTATTTACACAAAAGAAAAAGTATGTACAGTAATTCAATATTTCCTGGCAATTAGTAACGACTCTTGATTTAATGAATGTTATTCAGTTTTAAGCAAACATTTTTGTTTTGTTTTTGTTTTGTTTGTTTAAAGCCATCAGTCTAGGTGAAGTCGCACCTGCTGAGTCCAACCCGGCCCCTCCATCAGAGGAAGCACATCATCGACATCCTGGAATTGTTCAGGAATCAGAGGAAGTGACGACAAAAACTACAAAGGTGGACTCCATCTTGGAGATAGAGAAACAGAAATTGGCGCTGGAACATGAGAGACTTCAGGTTGCTAAGGAGCAGCTGGAAGTTAGTAGGCAGATTTCAGGTTCACTGGGTGAAATCAGCCACAACTTCCAACTGTTCCTTTCCAACCTGTTGCTGAGGGATCAAACTAATTAAAGGGCTCATGAAAATTACAATGCATTTTTGTCAGGTACATATTTTGTGCAACTTTCTGCTACATTCACATCTATCATTGCCGGTCAAGCAGCGTCGCGATCCACATTCTCAGTTCACTGCACAGTAGCCCCGTCATCGTCATGAAGATATAATATCACTGGCAAGAGAAAAACTATTTGACATCCCTTTTTGGTTATTTTGTTGAAAACTGCACTTCTTTAAACATTTAAAATGTTCCAAGCTTTTCCGGCCAACTGAGGGCGCTGTTGTCATAATGTCATTTCAGGAAGACACTTGTCAGTTGAGGGATGTTCTGTTCAAATTATGAACCCAAATATTTGCATATTGGAAACATCTTTGAGATAAATTTGCTCATTGTCTTGCTGACGCAACAATGGACCACCACAGAAAAGGAATTTACAACAGCAAAGTATCCAAATTCGGGCACCTGTTGGTGCTGATCTAGATGCAACATTAAGGTCTCTGCCTGAAATGACATTATACTTTTGCTTTTATGTGGCAATTTGTATGAGCCTCAAAATCAAAAAGGCACCAAAATGCCCTTAGAAATGGCAAACAAAAGTTAAATATAAGGTTTAAGGGGATACAAATGTGCATTTTGAAGGATTGCATAAAAACAAGTTACATTGCATGAGCCCTATAATTATTTAGGTCTAAAGAATCATTAAACTGAAACTTATGAAGAAATTGTCAAATAGTTAAAGAAATAAATCCATTCAATCCTATTGTGTTGCATGAAGATATTTTGAAGAAACTAATTATAGGCTTGAAAAACGTGCAAAATTAACTCGACATCTCTAATGTGTAAAAATTTATTCACAAGCATTTTCAGTGCCTGTAAACATTGTGAGTAGGATTGCTGAAATTTTAATACATGAAATAGGTTACCAAAATACCAAGATAAATGAACAAATCTTACAGTCAAATTATATGTTGGATGGTTCTGTTTTCAGTTTCAATTGATTGCTACTTGGTGACATCAATAAAATGGATTTACTCTACTGGAACTCTGTATTAGAATGGATTGGAAAAACATAAGGGTTCATTGGTACTGGAAACAACAACCTGTAAATATTTATGCAACATAGAGGGATTGATAAATTGTAAAACAACAAGTGGGATTGATAAAAAGTATTCAAAAGTATGCATTAATTATTCTGTTCCTCTGTATCGTACCATCTTGGATGGGCCCATCATAGGGTATGTCATCGTTTCCCTCATCCTCTCTCAGCTCTCCCTCTATCTCCGGCTCCCTCAATTCTTTGGCAATGTTATGCAGCACACAACAGGCCTTGATGATCTGACAGGCTCTACGGGGGGCGACACGGAGCCCGAGTGACAAACAGGGAAATTTGCGTTTCAGTTGACCGAAAACCTGTTCAATTGTCACTCTTGTTCTTCTGTGGCTCCTGCAATAAAAAGAAGAAATAATAGGTTTATTTTTTTTATACGTTGTTCAGTTTGTCTTGTTTAAAACCATGCTGTAAATAGATTTCTCTTTGTGCCATACATGAACGTTTCAAAAATTAAAAAATAGCCTGACCAACTGAAATATTTTCTGATGAAACATCAGCTGTAAATAGATTTCTCTTTGTGCCATACATGAACGTTTCAAAAATTGAAAAAAATAGCCTGACCAACTGAACTATTTTCTGATGAAACATCAGTTGGGTGGAACACTAGATTAACAGCATCGAATAAAGAAAATATCACCTTCCTAACCTCCTTACATGTATATCCGTAATGTTTGTGTACATACTTTCTTACGAAATTCGCAAAACTTTTGTTTCATTTTGCAATATTTATCGCTCAAGTCGAGCAGTACCCAGTTTTGAATTTGTTTTTGCAGATTTCATGAATATACATATAACAATAAAAAACAAACGTTTTGTTGAATTGAATTAAATGTATTGATACAGTTTGAATCCTTACTTGTTGTTTTCTCTTTGCTGTGTACATTATTTATTGGCTTCAAGTCTCAAATAAATCAAATAAGGTTTTGCCCTTCACCGACGTTTAAACACTGTATACTCAGTGTGTTACCTCCCGAGTGAAAGTTGGAAAAAATCACTCAAGTCGCAAATAATTATGAATGATAAAAGTACCTGTTGTAGCGTCTCTCGGCATTTGTTGTCGGTTCAGCGACAGGTGTCATCAGCCACGGTCGTAGGGCGTAGCCGGTATCGCCTATCAGCGTTCCTTGGAGTCTGAAAATTAAGGGGATTTTTTTATTAAATGTATTTATTGAATATTATCAGAGCCTATCATTATGTATCATTGATGTTTCTAGTAAACAGTTCAAATCCGATGGCGTGTTTCTTCAAATTTGTTACACCGAATTGTTTGCATTTTTTACTTCCAAAGATTCCTATTATGGTCACCACTCGTGCATACTTATTTCATTCTCAAAGGTGCCTAAAGCTTCTAGTACAAACCTTCCATTCTCGAACATTTCTCCGAGAAGGCTCCCGTGCAAAACCGCACTGTCGTGGGTGCTGCCTGGCCATCGTGCGGCGACATTCGTCATCTTAAATGACGCATTGCACACAGCTTGAACATTAATGCTGTGATAACCTTTTCTGTTTACATACAGAGGCTCGTCATCACCGAGTGGTGCTCCGTACAGTCGTACGTGGGTGCAGTCTATCGCACCAACTACCCCGGGAAAGCCTGCCTTGTCGAAAAACCCTTGCTTGGTCTTCATCACATCTTGTATATCGACAGGAAATCGTATGTGGCGATCGGTCAATCTTGCGAGGGAGTTGGCAACCCGGTGAACGATGCGACAGACGGACGGGACGCTGACATCATGGAGATCACCTTCAACGGTGTAGAAGGCACCGGTACCGAAGAACCGCAGGGTAGTGAGCAGTTGCATCAGTGGCGATATTGCATTGCTCCTCTTTATAAGGATTAAAATGTTGAAAAGAAACAATGCCATTATTGCTTGCCCTTTCATAGATTTTTTTATTTAATTGTTAACTATATGAAAAGCGTTTTTGAAAATACAAATTATTTTGTAGAATGTTCGCGAAGAATACTATTCTATACTTGTTGCTCTAGTTCGACGTACGTTTGAAATTTCACTAAAATGCACCCAGACAATCCTACAAATTCAAAATATTTCCGAATCAGTATGACCGCTCAATGATTCAGAAATTGGGACTTATCATAAGTACTATGGGGAATATTTATATTTCAAATGTCAAGTTTTTAAAATTAAATCGGGGTAACATTTTGAACAATTTTCCGTGCAGAACACGGGTTTACCTTTTAGAAAATGATTGTGAGCTGCAAAAACGGGATAGGCCTACCCTTTTCCCCCCAGAAATTTGTTATTAGAACATGGTATATATTCTTACTTCATTATTTTATAACATTATTTGGTGAAGAACTCATTTCTATTTTCGGAATTAAAATTGCACTATTGTATATACAATATTCTTAGTCTTATATGGTAAAGTTGCCATCGCAAATAATTCTTCTAATTGCGAATAATTCTTCTATTTGGGCAACATGGTAACAACTTTCACTTACTGATGTATGTATTCATAAAAAGTATTCTTTTATTTAAAAATAAAGAAAACAGTGTTTCCCCAAATTACTCTGAATTTAATGATGTCTTTAATGATCTGAAAGCTTTCCCATAATTTATTAGTCATTTATTGTTTGTAATTTCAGATCATTGGATAGATCTAGACAGCTTCAATTCCCTTTTGACCGTCGTTCTATATACCCAAGTTCTTTATACTTTAATTCTTTTGTAAATATCTGATAATTTGTAAAAACATTGTCTCATATATTTGAAATCGATTTAATTGTGTTGCAAATAAAACATTTTGATATTGTTGAGACAACCAAAAAATTTTGCGCCACCCAAATTATTTTAAATTAGTGGAACCACTCGGAATTAATTTAAATCACTCTCCCCGATTACAATCCCTTCCTAGCAATCCTCAATCGGAAAGTAAACCTAAAAAGGTAACAGTATGGGGATCCCAACGCGATGGTCAAAATAAATCACGAAAGTCACTTTTCTATAAATAAGGTTTTACAAATCTCCGTATTTTGTAAAAATGCTTATTTGGAGCAAACTAATTCCGGAATCTGCCATTTAGTTTTGCAGTTGTGAACACGATCCGATTAGTTGTGTGTTTTTAACAGTTGAAAACATTATCAAACAGGGCCTAGGCCTTTGTGTAATGTAATGTAAAATGTAATGTATCGATTTTATTCTGACCATTTTTTTGACTGGGATGTTAATGTGCAAAGAAAAAAATGTCCGTTTAGAATAATTTCATTGTTGAGAAATAATTATACGGCCGTTTAATTGTGTTCTGTATATAGGCCTTTTTTAAAATCATAAACGCTTCGTAAATGTAGGAACATATAGAGATGTTCCCTGAAACAACCTTGCTTTCATAGGTTAAATCGTTAGGTATGAAACAAATTCCCTAATACTTGAATAATTTCTTCTCTTACGCCAAAATTTATTCAGGCTTTATTCCCGGATCCCATCCCCGGCTGTTACGGTTGCTTACTATTTTTCTGTCCGCTTTCTACAAAATTAGGCCTAAGTCTGTTAGTAAAGTTTTTACTGAATGCTAATTAACTCACCCGGGTGTCGGACTCCAATTCATCTGCAACCCTTTCTAGAACTTGGAATACCCCATGTCTCGTGAATCTATATCTCGTGAGGATTTCCTCGTCATTGAGACTGTCTAGTGGATTTCTCCTGTCTCGGAATAACCTTTCTCGCCTTATTGCCCGCCGAGCTTCGCGATCCGCAAGAAGCATAAGCGCCATTGTGAATTTCAGTAAATTTTACGTGTTCGCGGAGATAAGACGACCCTCGGACCGATCCTAAGTTGAGACGAGTTCGGCCGCGTTGCTAAGGAAGTTAGGACGTGTTGAACGCGTCTTAAGTTTGGTGAAATCGATCCTAGGACGAGTCGCGAGTTAAGACGAGTTATCCTTCCTAGGACGCGTCTTAGCGTTTCGTGAAATCGGCTGCAGGGGCCCTACAATATACACAATAAAGCACTCAGAAAAAAAACATGAAATGAATCATAGAACAACTCAACTCAGAAATCACCAACAGCACCCTCAGAGAACATCCAGTCAGAAAACATCCAGTCAGAGAACATCCAGTCAGTACCTGCAGGAAAAATGGAAGAGGGAAAGGGACAGAAACATACTGCAAAGAGAAACAAGATTGGGTCAGTACATGCAGAATGAACTTGATTTCAACATCAATTTAAAGAGTTTTCCTTCAAAATGCCATATCGCCATTCTTCGTGACTTTTGTGCAAGAATTTTGCTTGAGAGCCAGCTTTCCTGCGGTGATTAACTCTCTGGAGCCTTGAAACTCTAGACATTTGGCACCAGTGTTCCAAATGGCTATATATTGCATTTTGGAAAGGAAGTCTTTGACTTCAACAGCTATACGTACAAACACAGGGGCCCCACAATATACACAATAAAGCACTCAGAAAAAACATGAAATGAAACATAGAACAACTCGAC